CCTGGGAGGGCATCCTGACTCTCACCGAGTCTCTGGCAGCAGCCGTGTGCGAGATGTGCGGACACTGCTGCCTCATCACCCACAGCCACTGCCCTTCCCCCGGGTTGAGGAAGCCTGGTTTAGTCTGCAGCTGGGAAGGGAGCCCAGAGCAGTGGTCGGCAAACTCATTGGTCAACAGAGCCAAATATCAACAGTACAACGATTGAAATTTCTTTTGAGAGCCAAATCTTTTAAACTTAAACTCTATAGGTCGGTACATTGTTATTAACTTAATTAGGGTACTGCTAAGGCTTAGGAAGAGCCTCACTCAAGGGACCAAAGAGCCAGAGTTTGCTGACCACTGAGTCCCAGAGTCTTCCCAGTAGCTCTTCCCTCATTATTCTTCCGTGAATTCCCTGGCCCTTTCCCAATAGCTGACGAATCCAGTACAGACATTCTGCTTCACGTTCATCCCAAGGTCACACAGAGCTGCCGCTTTGTGATCCCCTTATCCAGAATTGTCCGTTTGTACATCAAAGGAACACTGCACCGCTTCTTCAAATGAGAGATTATACCCCCAAGAAAGAGTTACTGTATTTTTCATCTCCGCCCCTGGATACCCGAATGCCTCTCCCTTTTGGCGGCAAGAATCCTTTCTCGGATAACAGTGTTTCTTCAAGGGCACCTGCAGTCTCTTCTCCTTGACTGCCTGACCCGCCTGTGGCCACCTTGCCACACACCTCACCGAAGCCTCAGGGCTCACACTGTCTCGGGTACGTGGTCTGTTATTTCCAAGGCCCAGGCCAAGCCCTCAGCCATCTAGCGCCTCAGCAGAAATGCTCTCCGGACCACAGGAGTCACACGGTCTCGTTTTTGTCTGCAGAGCGGCCTGGCCGCTTTGAATGTGTTTCAGGGGGATGAGGAAATCTGTTTAAACAAAGATCAATCAATAGCTTTGCCATGATCACGAACCTACGTAACAAAAACGTCATGTTTTCAAGCTCTAACTGAATGGCCACTTAACTGGAGGAGTATTTAATGCCCACAATTTAAGAAAATAACGCGTAAAGTCCATTGTAAAGGGATTTTTGGCAGATGATTTTCAATCAAAATTGCTTTAGTCTTTTAGCTTTTAAGGGAAACCGAGGCTCACTCCGGCCTCCCACGCCGCCAGGGGGCAGTTGGGCCCTCCAGCCTGTCGGCATCCGGGGGCGGGGCGGCATCTTCTCTCTGGGAGCCGCTCTCCTGTCTGGTCATGGTTCGCTGGGCAGGTAGTAGCCCTGATGCTGAGGTCAGGAAAGGCGTCCCGGGGCGATGGGCAGGGGAACGGATGGAGACATAAGGACACGGACCACCTAAATACGTTCTGATTTGCACCAGGTAGACATGGAGAAGTTTCTCAGGGCTTACACTTCCAGCGACAAGATCAACGACTCTCCAGGATACATACAGAACCCACGTTCTAGCTCAGCAGACCCGTCCCCTCCCCCGCCATCAGTCTGTGCTCCTGTCCCACACCAGTCCTGACACTGCAGTCAACATGGTAAATCCGGGGCGGGCCCTGAGCCCACCATGGCTTGTGCTCACAGGACCTGGTGACCATCCTTTTCATGCCCCAGCCCTGGGAGGTCTGCACTTCTCACTCTCCCACTGCCTCCCGAGTTTGGGGGTTCTGTGCCCTCTGTCCCAGGCCCCCCATCTGCCTCTTTATGGGGACGCGCCACCCTGACGCGGGTTTCTCTGTGCCTCCTTCCAGAGTGGGTGTTTGTGGGGCTGGTGATCCTGGGTGTCTTCCTCTTCTTCGTCCTGGTGGGCATCTGCTGGTGCCAGTGCTGCCCGCACAGCTGCTGCTGCTACATCCGTTGCCCCTGCTGTCCGGAGTCCTGCTGCTGCCCTCAGGCCTGTGAGTAAAGGGCCCGGGGCAGGGGGGGCGGGGGAGGCAGCCCACAAGGATCTGTGACCCCCTGGGCGGCTGTGTGCCTGACTTCCTTCTCCACCTCCTTTCCTTCCCCCCATAGTGTCACTCATCCCATGCTCCCTCCCCGTGGGAGCCCCGTTTCCAGAGCCAACACCCTTGTGTGCCATCTTACGTCCACTCACCTCTCCGTCCTTGTCCATGCCCGTCACCAGCATGTGCTGTCTCGTTGAGACTTGGTTGCAGGAAGGGCAGGTGCAGGAGGCTGAGGCTGTGGGAGAGGCGCCTGCCCTCTCCCGGGGCATTCAGACTCGAGGAACCTTCTCTGGTCACGCCTCCCACAGCAGAGAACCCCCTCTTGATGAACAGAGTGTGCAGACCACAGTCCTGGGTGCCATCCAGCCACTGGCGGGTTTTAGGTGCTCCCATGACCAAGGGGCCCACAGAAGGAGTCCTCCTTTGGGGATTCCCAGGGTGCCAGGCCCAGGTAGGCATCACATTTGGAACCCCTGCTGTCAACCAGACACAGCTCGCAGGAGAGAGACACGTGGTAGGTCAGTGCTCTCGGGAAGAACGCACTTCCGGGAGGGTCAGGTTATCTGCTCTGCTTTTGGGCTCCCACGCAGCCCCTTGCTCGCTTTGCCGCTAGAAGAAGTTCCGGCTCCCCTGGAAGCTGCCCTGGGCAGCCCTGGGGCTGGGCCGCCTACATACAGTGTGGCTAAGAGTGGGCCGCTGCTGTCACCGAGCTGCTGGGACGGCTCCCGCTGCTGCTAGTGACTCAGTTGCCAGGTGCCAAACACTGTAATTCCTGATGTCGTCTGCTGACGGAGCCGGAGGAGTCCAAGGCAGTGCGGGGAGTGCTTCCAATTACGTGACTCAGGCCTAGGAGAACACACACACAGGCGCGCAAGGCGCATGCACACACATACATGCACACTTAGGCACATGCACATAAGCACACACAGGCACAGGCACAAATAGACACACACAGACACGTGCGTGTGCTAACACATGTACACACGTAGGCACACATAACATACACGTACACACATGCACTGGGAGACAGCATGCGCCTGCACGCATAGGCACACATGTGCGTGCATGCACACATAGGCACACACAGGCACACATCCAGGAGGTCCCTAAAGTGCACCCTCAGGGACGTGAGGTGTGCGGGTGTGAGGGTGGGGCTGTATAATCTTTTGCTCTTCATCTCCCTCCACAGTGTATGAAGCAGGGAAAGCAGCCAAGGCCGGGTACCCTCCCTCTGTGTCCTGTGTCCCCGGCCCCTACTCCATCCCCCCTGTCCCCCTGGGAGGAGCCCCCTCATCGGGCATGCTGATGGACAAGCCGCATCCACCTCCCCTGGCTCCGAGCGACTCCACAGGAGGAAGCCGCAGTGGTAAATGAGGTTCCATTCTGCCCCGCCCCGCGCTCCTCCTCTGCTTCCAGGCCAGGGACTAGCTGATGTGGCATCAGCTCAGGGACGCTTCTTTGGGAAGTGGTTATCTCCATCCCAGAAGTTAGCAAATAGTTTCCTCCTCCCGCCCTAGTGCTCAGGACCAGCCGGTACTGTGCAGAGCGCCAAGACGTGGGGGACGTGGTTGGTCTGGGCAGGGTGCTCCAGCCCGAGGAAAGACACTTCATCAAGGCATTGGGTGCTAAAGAGTGTGGGACGGGGGACTGTGGGGGAGAGAGCTGGCTGCCAAGTCTTCCGGGAAGAGGTGAGGTCTGAGCTGAACCTGCAGGAATGAGGGGATTGGGAGAGCAGAGTGGGAGGTCATTGGGCACCCCCAGGAAGCAGCAGGGTGGAAGCCCGAGCAGGGAGAACACACTGTGTTTGATGGTGTCCAGCTCACCCGTCTGACTCCCAGAATTGGTGCTGTAGCGAGAGTCACGGCAGCAGAGTCCTGAGCAGAGAGGTGACATACTGACTGGGCACGTGGTTCATGGGGGAGTTAGTCGGACCTCGAGCTGAGGTGCAACTGAAGTCATTCAGGGAAATGTGAGCATCTGGGTGGAGATTGTGAGCTGAAATGAATGGGCAATCAGACAGGTGCTTGGAGAGGAGCCCATCAGGCAGGAAGTGGAGGTAACGGTGTGCGTCACAGCCCGCAGGGAACTCATTGGTCCGGGGCCTGTTTAGATGAGATTGGCCCCACCGAGGGATGATGAGTCATGGTTATGGGCCGGGTGGAGTGGGAGGAGGGGGCGCGTTAAGGTGTTGCTCTCCTGGAGGCTTGACCAGGGTCATGGAGCAGGAAGGTTGAAACTGTGTGTAGGAGACTTAGGAGGTGATTTGTAAATCCCGGGGTGGGTGAGCCACTGGGTGCGGAGAACAGGCATTTGCGCTCTGGAGGCATCTGGACAGGAACCAGGGCCTCGTCCAGCAGTGAACTGTTGGTACGACCGTGGACAGAGCAGACGTCCTTGGTGAGTAATCGGTATTTGAGTTTTCCTCTCCCTGGAACTGTTCACAGAATCCTGTCGCATGAGACCGGGAGACCGGAACTGAGTCACAGGCAGGGAAGTGAAGTTAATGATCAAGGACACGGGGATTAGAGCGATGAAGGCAGCCACTGCCCAGGGGGTGGAGCCAAGAGCCACCCAGGGAGCTTGTCTCAGACTGTTGGCTGCTTCCCTTTCCTCCAGTGTCCCTCCTTCCTGCCTTCCCACCAGAACCTGCCCCCCCTACTTTTAAATCAGTGAGTCTCATAATAAAATGACTCAGGTTCCTAGAATGGCAAGGGCTTCTTCTCTCCTGTTTCCAACCTTCCCCGGCCCCTGCTTGTGGCAGTTCCGTCGTTTCGGCCTGGCTGCCGTGCTACCAACTGTAGTTAGAAATGGCTGGGCACGAGGAGAATGTCTTCTTTCACATGGTGAGAAGCCCCTGGGGAGGTGGCCTGGGGTTGGCTGGCGGAACAGCTCATGCATCATGCACAGAAGGGCTGTTCTTGCCACTTGCTCTGTCCTCCTGCGGGCTCCCTGGTTCTCCCACGATGGCCGCCATCTTCTGGAAACTGCATTCTGAGGCAGGAAGCAGACACGCTTCCTCCCTGCGCTGCTTTGTCCTGAGTGATGGGCCTTTGCCTGAAGCCCCTCCTCCCGCCGACATCTGCAGCCCTAGTGGCGAGCACTGTGCCCAGGCCCCTTCCTAAACCTGATTGGCTCGGACGGTCAAGACTCATCTCTTGCCCTAGCTGGCTTGGCTCAGTGGATAGAGCGTCAGCCTGTGGACTGAAGGGTCCTGGATTCAGTTCCGGTCAAGGGCACGTGCCTGGGTTTCGGGATCGATCCCCGGTGTGGGGTGTGCAGGGGGCAGCCAGTTGACGATTCTGTCTCATCATTGATGTTTCCATCTCCTCTCTCTCTTCCTCTCTGAAATCAATATATACATATATCTTAGACCAAAGCATTTATTGACCTTGGAAATGGACATAACCAGGACTCTGTGATGGGAAAGGGGATGTCACACCAGCCTGGCCGTGTGGGCATCCCCGCTGGGCACATTTCTGTCCTCCTGGTCCCACGACCAGAATTACTGATGACGCCAACGTTCCGTGTAGATTATTCTCTAAAGCATGTTAGACGTGTTAAGAAATGCTCTTTTAGAAAGATGTAAATTTAGCCTATTTTATAGTTACATGCCACCTCCATTTTGGGGTGGTCACCTAGCAACTGTAACTTTCAGATTCTGTTTGTACACAATACTCTTGCACACTGGGTGGTTGCAAAGGCAGCTTTGAGGAGCCGTGTGTGGAATAGCCTGTTGGCTACCACGTGGGAGAGACGGGAGAGGCACCGATTCCTTCTCCGACCTTCATGGCGACTGGTGGGGACCCCCTTCAAGGAAAGACGGCTGCCTCCTTCTCCCCGGCCTGGACCCACCCCTTCAGCTCTGTGTTCTCTTCAGTGAACATCCACACTGCCCGTTCTGCCTCACATCTCCAGCCTGCCTTCTTCAGGGCTCCTCCTATCCGCCTTGGAAACCGTCCGTCACATACGCCACCACCTGCCACACCCCTGCAGCCCTCTGAGGCCACGTCCCCATCCCTTGTCGCCTCTTCACTGCCAGACTCCTTGGGAGAGTTTCGAACATTTCACGTCTACATGTTCCCTGCTCTTGTCAACTCCCCAAACTTCCATCTGCTCTTGCCGTCACTCCAGAAGCCCGCCCGCCAGGTGGCCTCTTGCTAAGGCTAGTGGGTCCTCCTCCATCCTGGCTCCCCTGAGCCATCAGGGGACCTGCCACCCTCACCCACTCTTTGCTTTGCCTTCCCCCTTGTGGTGTTCTGTGACATTTCCTACCTGGCGGCTATCCCTCTGGGTGCTCCTGTCTCTCCTCCTCCCCCTCCCCCCCCTGGAAATCGACTCACTCCCAGGCTGTCGCCATGGTCTGTACGCCGATGCCTCCAACCTCTCCTCTGATCCCCAGTCCCCGGGTCCCACTGCCTTCCTCACATCTCCACTGGATCTCTGCAGGCTTTTCAATCTCAGCCTCTGGGAAATGGGATTAATCTGCGGTTTGTCTACTTCAACTCGTCCGTTTCTTATTTCAGTGGCTGCATTGTCCACCTACTGGCCAAAAGGTAGGACTTCATCCTCCTCTCGTCCTCGCCCTCACTTCCCGCATCCAGTTGGTCAGCAAGCCCTTCAGACTGTAGCTCAGAATAACCTCGAACCAGTTTACTGCCCTCCATCTCCATCCCAGCCCCGGTCCCTCCATCTCCATCCCAGCCCCGGTCCCTCCATCTCCATCCCAGCCCCGGTTCCTCCATCTCCATCCCAGCCCCGGTCCCTCCATCTCCATCCCAGCCCCGGTCCCTCCATCTCCATCCCAGCTCCGGTCCCTCCATCTCCACCCCAGCCCTGGTCCCTCCATCTCCAAGTCCCTCATCTCCATCCCAGCCCTGGTCCCTCCATCTCCATCCCAGCCCTGGTCCCTCCATCTCCATCCCAGCCCTGGTCCCTCCATCTCCATCCCAGCCCTGGTCCCTCCATCTCCATCCCAGCCCTGGTCCCTCCATCTCCATCCCAGCCCTGGTCCCTCCATCTCCATCCCAGCCCTGGTCCCTCCATCTCCATCCCAGCCCTGGTCCCTCCATCTCCATCCCAGCCCTGGTCCCTCCATCTCCATCCCAGCCCTGGTCCCTCCATCTCCATCCCAGCCCTGGTCCCTCCATCTCCATCCCAGCCCTGGTCCCTCCATCTCCATCCCAGCCCCGGTCCCTCCATCTCCATCCCAGCTCCGGTCCCTCCATCTCCACCCCAGCCCTGGTCCCTCCATCTCCATCCCAGCCCTAGTCCCTCATCTCCATCCCAGCCCTGGTCCCTCCATCTCCATCCCAGCCCTGGTCCCTGCTGCCACCATCTCCCACCTGCTCTTTCCGCATCCACTTTTCCCTCACTCTAATCCACTTCCTCGTCACATCTACCTGCCTCTCCTCACCTTCTAGCAAAAGAATTGAGTAGGCAGGTAGGGTTTAGAAATGTCATTTCCAAAACTAATGAGGATGTATCTCTTTGCCCGCTGTGTGCACACAGGGAACACACACATTTCCAGCGCCACCTCCCCCACAGCTGCTGCTGTCATGTGGGGGTGGGATCTGGCAGCTGCTGCATCATCCCCAGAGCCTCACTTAGCTCAGGAAGCTGGAACTCCGAGAGCAAAGCCTCAGCCATGGGCCGTAGGGATGGGCGTTATTTGCAAGTTTTTAAGTTTCATTTGGCTGTAAAGGGGAAATTAACTGAAAAGTAGTTGTGCCTCAAAGGGGACAAAAGTATTAGCTCAAATCCTTTAACAATAATTTTTCAATAATTTTTCAAAAGTATTAGCTCAAAATTATAGTGGCATGAAAACGAACATCCTAATATTCCCTCTCCAGTAAAAGCAGAGCTGGCAAGGCTAATAAAGTAGAGAGGCTGATGTGGAAGCCACGCCAACCAAAGGACCTGAACCAGATTGAACCTGAAGAGAGAGAAACCATCCACCTCCTCTGAAGCATCACTGGGGAGCCTACACATTTTCCAAAAAGTGTTGGACTTTGGCCACCGGTCTGGACATTTCTTATTAAAATAGCGCCTCCCATCATAGTTCTCTGGTCTTCAGACTCAGTACAGACAGAAACCAACCAGACACCAATCTATTTATTCTTCAAATCAATAACATTTAATAAATGTTTGTAAATTGCCCCTCAAGGAATGTATGGTCTAGGGCCGTGGTCGGCAAACAGCGGCTCGCGAGCTGCATGCGGCTCTTTGGCCCCTTGAGTGTGGTTCTTCCACAAAATACCGACTTCTGCGCATGGGCCATGAAGTTTCAATCGCACTGTATGTGGGCGCCCACACGTGGTATTTTGTGGAAGAGCCACACTCCAGGGGCCAAAGATCCGCATGTGGCTCGCGAGCCGCTGTTTGCCGACCACTGGTCTAGCGGGGTGGTTGTGGGGGGCTAGCAAATGGGAATAGAATGAGTGCAAACTGCAAAGCAGTGTCTGATAAGGCCGTTCCCTCTGGCCCGCCCAGAGAAAACGGCCTCATTGAGTGGGGGGAGTGGGGTGCAGGGGGGAGAGAGGGAGGTCAGGAAAGGCCTGGTTTTGTGCTCCGGAGCCCGGGGGACACAGCCTGCTCCTCGTAGCACGAGAGAAAAGCCACATGTGCCACGCCATGGCACTGAGCTGACCGTGAAAAAACCTTTTCAAGGGAGAATTGCCTAGCGTTTTAGCTCCTAGAACCAATGGATGATGCCTCAGGATCAATAGTTTGCCTCTGTCCTTTGTGACAGTGAGAGGGTTCGATTTCTGGGGTCATGGACCTGCAGGCAGGCACGCCCGGTGAGCGTGTTTGTTGTGTGACACAGAACACGCAACTCCAGTCCACGTGGCACTCTGCCCAGGTTTCCAGCGGTTGTCAGGGGCCGGCCTCGCCGCCAGGGGACAGTACCTGGGCATGTTCCCAGAGCACAGCCCAGCTCAGTCTTCACGGCTGGAAGTTTACAGGCGGCGCCTCACACACTCAGACACCCAGACGAAGCCACAGCCAAGGCAGGGCAGCCCCTTCCCTACGCCTGCAAACACCTAGTTTTCTTACCGAGGGAATCATCATCAACAATAATAACAATAAAGCAAAACCTACATAAGCCTTTTGCTCCCTCCAGCTACCATTGGAGCCGTCTTCCTGTCAATTCTCCAACACGCCAGCTGCGTGGCCTCTCCTGCTAAGACCTTTTCTATTCCTGATTTCCTTTTCACTCGCTCACTCACTCACTCACTCACTCACACGTTCAGGATGTCTGCCATGTGCCCGCGCTGTGCTAGGCACTGGGGTGAGAGAAACAGAACCGGTCCTGTCTGCCCTCGGGGGGGGTGACAGTCTAGGGAGGACACGTACTGAAAATACTCCAAGGAGACCGGGACCCCGCCGCGCCCTGCTGGCAGCAGCCGCTCACACGCCCTCCGTAAGTGCCTGCTCTGTGTACAGCAAGGTCCTGCGTGTTTTTACACAAAATGACAAGGACGCCTGTCCCTGCGGAATCTGGGAAGGTTACGCATTTCTACAAATAACCTGAAACAAACTAGAATATATCAAGAGCCGTGATGAAGGTTCAAACTAAACGACATGGAAGTTAGGAGTGAGACAGAGGAGATAGGACTTCTCTAGTGACGAGAATCAGCGCCTTTGAGAGGTGGCGACATTTGAGCTGCCCCTAATAATTACAGAGAACTCGGTGGTTCCGGGGCTTTGGTCTGTGTTGTCTTCTCTTTATGAGGTTATTTAAAGGGTGGGAAGTATGAGATGCCCTTTTTTTTTTAGGTAATCCTCCCCCGAGGATATTTTCCCATTGAGTTTTAGGGAGAGGAGAGAGAGAGGGAAAGACAGAGAAAAACACATCAATTGGTTGCCTCCTGCACAAGCCCTAACCAGGGCCCGGGCCAGGGAGGCACCTGCAACCAAGGTAGGTGCCCTTGAATGGAACCGAACCTGGGACCCTTTGGTCTGCAGGCTGACGCTCTATCCACTGAGCAAACTGGCTGGGCTGAGTTGCCTTTGACAGACATGAGAACACAGAGGGACCATTGATTTGGGGTTCTTCTATAAACCAGTGCATGTCCACAGGGTGCCCAGTCCCCACCCCCAGCCGTATTCACCCATCAGACGAACTGCCTCAGAACAGAGCAAGCAGCTCGTGGGATGATTGCGTTGTAATTGAACTGTCTGTACTGCTCTGCAGACGCCTCTGCCAGGTGGGAGACCGTGCGGCTTGATACATAAAACCATTTCTTTTAATAATTGCTTCTGCGAAAGGATTATGGAGCTGACCTCCGGGAGGAGTCACTAAACAGCGGGTGGGGAGGTTTTCTTAAAGTAACGCCACAATCTGATGGCCGTGGACTGCCTGGCATGCTCTCACGTCCAACAGTAGTGCCTGCCAGGGGGGCACCGTGTGAGCACCGTGTCTGCCCACGTGCCAGGCTGTGGCCCGGGTGCTGGGGAACAGCCTAGTACAGTCTCCCATGTGCATGGCTGTGGCCTTTGTCCATGTAACATGACCAGAGATCAGAGGCATGTGGCTTCTGTGTGGCATCTGCCTCGCTGTGGGAGCAGGATGTTGGCGCTGGGTCCCCTGCTTCCACCTCAGGGTACAGTCCTGCCGGGTGGAGATAGGACCACGCCTCAGAGCACAGCGCCCTGGCCGCCTAAGGCCTTCCTGCCCTGGGCTCCTCTTCCTCATCCTCCTCATCTCTTCTTCCTACCGGGACCCTAGACTCCAAGACAGGCAAGATGGCCAGGGCGGTGGGAGTGCAGGTCCCAGCCCTGGAGCTGCCAGTGATTCTGGGGCAAAGTTAGGAAACTCCTTGGAGCCGAAGTTTTCTCAACCACAGACTGTGGCTAAGAACAGCACTTTCTTTGGGCGGCGCGAGGGCCAGTGGCCAAGCACTGAGCGAGCACCCAGCACATGCTGTCCGTCCCCGTCGTTGTCTGCTCCCATCCCATGCACTCCCTGCTCTCCTTTCCTCTCTCATCTGTGACAATTAGACCTCCCGTGGGGGGTGGTATTGGACTGGATTGATATTTAGGGGGTGAGGGGCTCAAACAGCTTTTGTCCCTGACAATGTGAGTGACAGGAATGTAGGAGGTGGGATTATGTCTGATGCTTTAATTTCGTTGGTTATTAAGCCCTGAAAATAACACCTGCTTGTAACACACAGCAAGCAGCAGGTTGGATTACTCGTGTCTAAAATACGGCATTCCCTTTTCCAAAAGGAAAACAATGAAATCATAATGATAATCACGTATTTACATCTTATTTTGTACTAATGCCTATACAGCCTATAATCTAACATTAGCTCCTATGCACCAGCCAGGAGTGGAACTTTTTCACCACCTCCCGGGCCACTAGAGGCGTCAGGCCCCCTCTGTCGAGGTCCCCTCACGTTGAGGTGTCTGTTTTGAAGCTGCAGGAACTCCCACCGAGTGGAGGTGTGAGCCTGGGGCTGTAGAGCAGTCTGTCTCAGTCTGGAAAGGGGTCTGTGTTCAGTGAGTACTTAGGTCAGAGTCCTGAGCTTGGAGAGGAGGAGCTCTGTGTGGAGCTACTGGAGGTGGGACAGGAAGCAGCAGTGAGCACATGACTGAATGTACCAGAATACAGCTCTGTTCCTGACCTGCTGGCCCCCCATTCCGGGGCACCTGTGATTAAGGGGCCTTAAGTGTACAAATATAGATGACTGTCTGGTGACTCCAGAGAGAGCTGCTACACGTGGGAACCGTGGTTTCTACCTGGTAAAAGACACGAGGCCCATCTCCCGAGTTTCCCAGCTCACCCGCGTGTCCTCTCTCCACAGTTCGCAAAGGCTACCGCATCCAAGCGGACAAAGAGCGCGACTCCATGAAGGTCCTGTACTACGTGGAGAAGGAGCTGGCTCAGTTTGACCCGGCCCGGAGGCTGCGGGGCCACTGTGAGCATCTGTGTTGTGTGTGATCGGGCCCTCCCTCGTGCAGGAATTCACAGCTAAAGGGGACTTGGGGAGAGGGGTCCCCAAACTTGGGCAGCTTTTGACTTTCAGGGTCAGAACGAGCAGGTGCTGGCCACAGCACCCTGAAGAAAGGGCCTTGGGGGGTGCAGGAGGGAGGGACACGGGGCTTCTCTGTGAAGAACAAAGAGGTGTCCCAGCGGGGTTCAGGTTCGGCATCTCTCGTCAGGCAAGATCGCTGGGCTGTGCGCTGGGGTTGGACATGTCTTATGGAAACAGTCCTCTCCATTGGCCCTTTAAGTATACCCAGGACAGAGATGTCCATGTGGAAGCTTTCAGTCTTTCCAACCCGAGAGGCCCTCGCCCTGAACAACAGCCGGCCACTGGCCGCACGGAGGCCCTGTGTGTGAGAGAACTGTGCTGATCCGTGTCGTACAAAGAGGCCTTCGTGCCTCTGAGATGCCCGAGAGCAGAAGTGAACGGGCAAGGCAGGAGGCTGCCCTTGTCAGAGAACTTTTGAATCACGGAGTCTGTAGGGGCAGGGCCCCACCCCGTCACTCACCCTGTCCCTGGAGCCTCTGCGGCTGACACAGCCCACTCTTCCCAATGACCAACGGGGAGAGGCAGCAGCGGGTGTGCAGCGCCGAGCGTGCCACAGGCGTGGCGCTGAGGGCAACACACTTCTGTCGTTGAACACTCCTCACCCTGGGACCCGCCAGGGATGTGATGGGATTGCTGGCGCCACCGTGAACGCAGCCGAGCGGAGCTCTGCGCGGACGAAGGACAACAGGTTCCTCCACGTTTGCGGCTCTAAATTCCTCCCGTCGGAGCTGCATTCGCAGCAGCATCCTCCCACCACCGGCTATAAAAAGCCCGTCTCCAGATGGGAATGTCAGGGATGCAGATGTCACCACACTTGACAAGCTGGTTGCAACCATGTTGTCATGGATCCCTGGAAGGGGACAGAGTCGGTGATCACGGAGAGGAGCCCTGGGAGTCTCAGCTCGGAGAAGAGTTAGGCTAGTGTAGGCATGTCCTGTCTCCTGGATGAAAATGGTCCCCAGGCCCGGCAGGTCACAGGTCATGGGCTCTTGGTGCCCACAGGGACCTTGGAGATGGCCGGGAACCACCTGTGTGGTGTAAAGATGAGGTCACAGAAGCCGGAGGGTGCAAGTGACAGAATCAGACTGGAACCCAGCCCTCCTGACTCTCCGTCCTGTGCTCTTCGCACAGAAACCCGTGAGCAGACTGGGTGGCTCGGTGGCTGTTTGACCACAGCCTTCCAGAACGTAGGACTTGAGGGAGTCGAAGCTGGAAGAGAGGAGGTGCCGAGTCTCCCTCCTTGTTTTAGAGGAGGGAAGGGAGGCCATGGGGGGTCACTGGTGCCAGTTCTTGGCGCCGACACCAGAACTGGAACCCGGTGTCCTGGAAGCTGCCGGTTGACAGGGCGATAAAGGCACAGAGATGAGGCAGGAAAGCAGCTCACGGGGCTTGGAGAGGTTCTGTCCCCGAGGCAGAGAACCCGGGGCGGGTCATGGAGTGGGGCCGCCTTGAAGATCTCTTCTCAGAGTGGATCTCAGTCTCAGGTTGCAACACGGGAGGCATCCACTCTGTGCGCAATGGTATTCCAGGGTCCACTAGCCATGTGACCCTCACTTGCCCTTGGGATGCCTTTCGTCTGGAATCCCAGGGCAGGGATCAGCAAACTCCAGTTCCCAGGGCACCCATGTCCCGCCTCCTGTGTTGGTGAATACATTTTATTGGAGCACAGCCACGCCAATTCACGTCCTTATTATCTCTGACACCTTTCATGCTGCAATGGCAGAGTTGAATAGTCCTGACAGTATGGCTGACACATCCTAAAATACTCACTGTGCAGCCCTTCACAGAAGAGTTTGCCTGTCCTGTCCCTGAGTTACAGGTGTCCGTAAAGCGGAGGAGGGTGATGGTCATGTCCAATGGGGCAGAAACTTTAGAGCAGGCAACCTGGCCCACCCATCAGCTGAACGGGGAAACAGACGGCCCTCCTGACCTGGAGACGGGAAAGGTCTCCGCTGCCCCTGCAGGCTGAGGACAGTTCTGGGACAGTCATGCGCTTTCTCGGTAGTCACACGTGACTGCTAACAGTCCTCACACTCAGTGCATTTTAAGGTTCTCTCCTGCGTGCTTCCTGGGAGGTTGTTCGTCACCAAGCTCCTGAGAAAGGAAAGGTTCTAGACTTTATTCCTCAAGAGGCTCTGAGTTATTGTTGTTCAAATACACACCAGTCCATTTTCCTTCGGAGGAAGAAAGGTTTAAAATTAGATTATAATTCAAAACCCCTGACCGCCAAAACCAATTGATGACCAAGTCCCCGGTGCTCCTGGTCAGCCGTGTCCTGGAGAAGGAGAGGCGGCACGTGCCGCTGTGGGAAGGACCACCCTCCCCTTTGGGGGGAGCCAGCAGCAGTTCTCGGGGACACGGGAGAAGACGCAGAGGGAACGCAGGCCCACATTTGTGCCTCCCACATCCCCTCTTGGCTTACCTCTCGCTCAGCAGCCAGACCTTCATGTTGTAAATGTTGACTTTGATAATATTTAAAGTTCTAACCAAAGGATTTTAGAAAACAAATGGCTTGAATTACAGTACAAATAGGTTAAGTAGATGTGTTTTTTTTAAGGGAAATGACATTCAATCCATTTCAAAGTTCTACAGATAAATAGGTGTGTATTTTTCTTTCCGGATGGCAATGCTGGTCTTTTTCATAAGTGCTGTTGCAAATAGCTCCCGAGATCACCTTAGGACATGAGAAAGCTATGCCCAGCCCCCACCCCCACCCCCGCTTCTCACAATGTGGGACTGGGGCTAGACCAC